GCTCTAGAAGAGCCCACGACATAACATTTCATGAAACTCCCGAAAAAGTTCAGGTACCTGAAAATAAAGAAAGTGATGAGATCTCCACAAGTTATGTCACTTCGGAACTGACACAAAATGATCGTCGACGATATATTTAATACAATATAGTGCACAATATTATAAAAAATTGTGAGGGTCGGACTAGCAGTCCAGACACTTGAAGATGTCATATCATTTAGATATAAGTCTTAACTTATATGACTTATTTGGCTAAATCTATATGAAGATCCTTGAAAGATTGAAAATGCCCGAAGCATATAATTCAAAGTCTTGAGAAATGTACTCGATCAAATTATAAAGATCTTTGTACGGTTTAAAGCAATCTGTGAGTGTGTGGTATAATCGCCTCAGTAAATATTTGCTGAAAGAAAGTTACATAAATTATGTTATTTGTCTATGTATTTTTATAAAGAAAATGTCATCAAAATTTGTTACACTTGCTGTTTATGTTGGTGACATAAATCTTATTGGAACTCCGGAAGAGCTCCAAGAGGGTCTTAAAAATACTTTTACATGGACAAAGTGTACCCATTAAGTACACCAATGAATATTCAATCACTTGAAGTGAATAAGGATCCGTTCCAACCTCTAGAAGAGGATGAGGAGCTCCTTGGTCCTGAAATACTCTATCTCGGTGTAGATGGTGCACTTATTTATCTTGCTAATGCTAACAAAAGTGGTGCAGATCGTATTGGTAATGCAGATGCAAGTTATTTATCTGACACCCATAAAGCTCGATTTCAAACCGGCAAGCAGGGAGTGCATATGATTGAGATCAGTGATTCATTCGAGAAACATGTGGGTTGGAATGTGATAAAAGACCCACAATATTATACGGAGACAATGTTTCATGCATAGCACTATTAAAGGGAGGATTTATAAAAGGAGATAGAACGAAGAACATTTCACCAGAATTATTCTACACACACGATCTTCAGAAAAGTGGTGACATTGATGTGCAACAAATCCGTTCAAGTGATAATCCAGCAGATTTATTCACTAAATCTTTGCCAACTTCAACTTTTGAGAAGATGGTATACAAGATTGGAATGCGGAGATTCAAATATTTGAAACAAGGTTTTTCATCAGGGGGAGTAAAATACGCGATGCACTCTTTTTCCCTTACTAAGGTTTTTTCCCATGGTGTTTTCCTTATAAGGTTTTTAATGAGGCACATAGCAATGCGTATTATAAATATGTGTACTCTTTTTCCTTCACTAGGATTTTTTCCCACGTGGTTTTTTCTAGTAAGGTTTTAATTAGACACATTATCTTTTAATGAACATCCAAGGGGGAGTGTTATAAATATTTATATTATGGATGTTCATTTAGTATTCCGTTGTAAATAATCTTCCTGAAGAAGCTTATCCATATGGGACTCCACCGTAAATATGTTTATCTATTTAGTACTCTATTGGAAATAAGCTTCCTAAAAAAGCTTATCACTTCGGTACCCGGTTATGGATAAACATTACCCTAGGTAGAAGATTATCCATACCGGGTATAATAAGCTTATCCATTCAGTACTCCGTTATGGATAAACATTGCTCTCAGTAGAAGATTATCCATATCTGGTATAGTAGCAGCTTACACAGTAGCTTGCAGTAGCAGCTTACACAGCAACTTGCAGTAGCAGCTTACACAGCAGCTTGTAGTAGCAACTTACACAGCAGCTTGCGTAGCAGCTTACACAACAGCTTCCTTTCTTCTATAAATAGAAGAGATTTCAGTTCATTATATACATCAGTTTGAATTCGAATAATATATCAGTTTCTCTCTATACTTGTCTTTACTTTATAGTCTTTATTTTATAACAGTACCATCTTTGTTTTTCCGAATTATTAGAGATGTGCCATTATATTTGGGCAAGCGCACACATAGTTTTAGATACTATTTAGAGATTAGCCACTATTTACTTATTTTGTCCTGAAATTTTAAACCAAAATCTTAACTTCACGACAATTCAAAACATTTATATCCCAAAAATTTGAACTAAAAAATTAAAATTCAAGTTGCATTTGCTAATTCTTAAAGTGGCTGTCTGGTGTCATTTCTACCATTATATATTTCGAGTTGGGTTATAGGGGAAATTTCTTTCATTTTTTTGGGAAATATTCTCCTATTTGGAGCATTGAACTCTGGGCCTATTCGTAACTTGATGGCAAAGTAGAGGGTATTTGTTCAAAAGGAGATTTTGTTTATGGTTACAAGTTAATATTATGTTTTTCTTTAAAATCCTTTGTCAATCCTTTATCGCATCCCTCATTTTGGCGTAAGCTTGTGTGGTTCCATTTTCAAAATACTCCAGTTATTAAATGGCATAAATCATGTAAAAAATAAAAATAGGAGCGGTGCGTTATCCTTCCTTTTCTTTAGTTTATTCTCAGACAAAAAACAAGCATTGGCATTTTATGGTTTTAAGAACGTATATTTTATATCCTTGTACTACATAACATAGGGTATGAGCTTCTTTTGTAGTTTTAGAAACATGCTTTTGCCCCATAAACCAATCACAGGATAGAATTGAAGTTTAAATTATAGCAGTTGCGTATTTCAAGGAAATGACTGATGCTTATAGCACTGCAGTTCCTGAAAGGTAGCACATCAAGCAAATGCATCAACAATATGTTCCTCTGGTAACTAAAATAGGACATAATAAACAGCTACAGAAGAAGAAGAATTACCATTACATGTCGATAATCAGACCTATAGCCCACCTAAAACAATGGAGGCATGTGTTAAGGATCGCTTTGATCCTGCGAGCTATCTAATATTTTGAGAATCACTCTTCGCTGTGTTTAAATCTATACATTTTGAATCCCAATACTGTTAGAATGATTAATGAAAAGGACCGATGATCTTTATTATCTCTTTCCCTTGGCCTTTCCTTCACTTATACTTCCATTACAGCCCGAAGATGCTCACCTGGTCAGAGAAATTTTCCATTATGGTTGGTTCTTCGCAAGTATGAACTTCCTTCACAGATTGAGGAAGCTCAGTGGAAAGCCTGAACAGGTTTTCTGGTTCATGTGAGATATCTTGAATCTGCAAACCACATCTAGTGCTGTGGAGCTCGTCAGAAACACCAGCGTACTCTGGTTGTCTAAGCTTTTCTTCAATCAACATTTTGGTTTCAGCCTGAGATGTCTCATTCAGATCAAATCTCACTGAGCTTTCAACTTCACGAGGTATTTCTTCCTCCACGTCATTTACTCGCTGAAGCAAATCATCTGGAGTTGCAGCAGGGTCAAGATCCCAGCACCCCTCAGGCAAGTTCATTCCTTCACCTTTCAGTAAGCAAGATGGCACCTGATGTGAAAATCGTAACATCTCTCTTCTTCGAATCAATCGAATGGCATCCTTGTTTGTGTTTCTACGGTATACTGTCTTGAACCCATCTAATTTAATCAAAGGAGTAACACAGACACCAAGCTCTTCGGAATAATCATCAAGAACCTCAACCATTTCATACTGGTGCCTTACTTCAGCTGGGGTTGTTCTGTCCCAATCCGGTGACCAATTTCGGTATACAGCCCAAACGTCTCCACTTTTTGGGTAGATTCTAACACAACCACCCCTTCCAGCTTTCTCCCTACTTAGCAGGTGAGAAAATATGTTCACATGCTCAACAATTTCAGAGTTAAAGGCCCTAAAATTTCCACACGACTTGGTAAAGCCAGAATCCAACCAATTTACCAGCCCAAATTCGCTATCTGATTTCGAACTTAAGTAGCTGATATGAACTTTGAATGGTTTCACAGAGATGATTTCGCGGATCAAACAATACAAGCGAGGCATACCATCTTCCTCGTCATATAAAGCCCATATCTGCTTAGGTTTGAAGCAATCCTCTGATCTATCCTTGTCAAAATCATGAAAGTCAGAATCTGGGACTATTATTGTCATTGACCCAGTTTTCCTCAGTTCTGACTGATGAACAGCATTTTCCTGTGCGACCATTTTAGGTCTTTCACTTGATTCACCAAACTCAGCATCCGCCTTTCTCTTCTTCTGGGACTCTGCAACAGCAACTTCTGAAGCCAACTTGATCTCTTCCAGTTTTTTGCGGATTTCTGCTCTTGCCTTGTCAATTAGTAACCGTCTTGCATCAAATGCAGGAGCAGCTGAAAATCTTCTTATAGAAGCTTCAGTGGGAGTAGGAAGCTTAGCATTTTGTTTCAAATTTCCGCACCCATTTCCATCAGCCATTTTAACTTCTCCAGCAGTTTTTAGAGCCACTTCACCATTACTATAGCCGCATGTACCTTCAAGATCAATTTTTATCTTCTTAGCAGGTCTACCAGGCCTGCGGGGTATTTGTTCATTGCACACAGAATACCCGTTAAGAACCACGTTGCTCACCACCTTTTTCATATCTTGCTTCCCCCTGCCTCTTCTTCTGGTGATTTTCCTACCTGCCTGGTTCGAAAAACTGACAGTTGTGGATCGATTGGGATCTAAAACAGCAGCGGAATTTCCAGGGCTGGAGCTCCATTGAAAGGACAAATTAGAGACATGCTCAGAACCATGTCCAGAATGATGTCCTGATACCCCAGTATTTGCAGGATAAACAGATGTCGTTGGGACATATGTAACCCCGCAACCATGGCTTCCATATTCATTAGACCAAGAGCTATAGGGATAGGAACCATTAACTGGGGCTAAACCTGTTTCCACAGCTATGAAAACACCACGGCAATTCTTACAGGACAGTCTTTTATTCAGGTACTTCCTAAGATATTCATACTGAACGTGACAAGAGGTACAAACCGTCCAAAATGTATCAAGCCTGTTATGAGAAACTGAAGAATTGGAGTAACTGTCATAGCTTCCAACACCAGAGGCATGCAGGGTAAACAAACTTCTCCTGTGATCGTAAGAGCTTCTTTTGGCACCATCGGACAACACTGTCCATGCTTCAGAGACAAGTCTAAATGCAACATCAGCTCCAACACTTTTGTTCTTATCCGGATGGAGCAACACAGCCATCTTCTTATACTGTTTCTTCAGCTTAGACTTGTCCGCAGAGGGATCTAAACCCAGTATTGCATAGAAATCAAATTCTCCATTAACCTTCGTCTCTGCAGCACTATGCACTCCAAATGTTGCTACCATTTGCGATATTCCTTCCAAATGGGGGTACATCACCTGAGCTTTTAAAGCATAATGTTTTGCACCCACAAAGTCTTTCTCCACAAATCTCCTTTCAGCATTTGCTTTAGCTTTTAGTGCTTCCTCCATGGTCAGTTCCATCTAAAAGCAAGAATTTCAGCTCAATTTCCCTACGAAATTTCTCAGAAGCTCAAAGAATTTTACAACCGAAATCCATTTCGTGGAGAAAACATGCTTACAGGGCCTGCAATTAAACAAGAAGTACTTTAATATACAATTATTTCTACCTTTAAAAATGATCCACTAATCGACCTTTAACAGTACTCAACATTTCAGTAATATCCTAACTTTCAAAGAATGACTCACAAAACCAACAAATCTTAACCCATCAACCATTATATGGGAAAACGTAAAACCAGATACGAACATTATAGGTTCAAGTTCGGAATTCTACCACAGCCTATTTGATTTACTGAGTTCAAACTCTATTACTTATTTAGTGGATTTTGTTAACACAAATACACAGGGTTCGAGCAAAGGCAAATGCAGCATATTAACGCTGGGTTCATTCATTTGTACCCAGTACTTTCAGCATGGAGTATAAATTTATGTGTAAAAAATTCACTAAAATTGTAACAAATAGTAGGTCTAAACTCATAAAAATAGATTCAATGCTAAGAACATTAAAGGTTGAACGTGTAGAGTTCAAATTCGGGATCCGCCTCAAGGTTCGAGCCAAAGCTATTCGGATGAACCCGTAAATTCTTAACTACAGATCTGAATCTATATTCAAACATACTCCTTACTTCATGCTAGAAAGAACAACAGCTCAAGTAAACCAATTGAGTCGGTCAAAATCAAGAGCATCGACTCCTTCAGCATGTTCAGTTTCAAGTAAAAAATTGTGACTAATTTTGACTAATTTTTGACTAATTTCGTGAGATCTAAACTAGAAACAACACAACAAGATAAAAAAAAAAATCATCAAAAGCAACAGATCATTTTAGCACAAAACTTAGCTGAAGCAAATGATATAAAAATAAGATAAGAATTAAGGTGAACTTACGGAGACAAAACTCAGACTGATATATGAAGTGAAGCAGCCGTAGATCAGCAAAAAAGCTGTGGATCCCAAAATTCGAAGCAGATCTTGACCAAGTCAAAATCACTAATGTGAAATGACAAACTCAAAAAACAAGTACGGAATTAAACTTTTACAAAAATTAAGGTTCAAAACGATTTATAAGAAAATGAGTGAGTTTTTTGAGTAGAAGATTGTGGCGGCTGACGGCGGCGTAACGGCGGAAGATACTGCCGGAAACACCAAAGAGTAGAAGAGGGTTTTTTTATTTTTACTTACTATTGCAACTAAACTGCAACAATACTGTGGGTTGTAGTTAAAAAATTAAAATATAAATAGTAGTACTACTTATAATTTGATAATGAAATGATTACTGAGTAAAAGTTTAGGAGCAGTTAATATTTCTAAAAAGTTAATAGTTTCTACTTTTATTAAAAATGTCAAATTGTTTTAACTTATTTTTAACTACAGTATAAAATTGGTACTTAATTATTATATTTTTTTTTATGTACTATAAGATATTAGGATTTGATCACACATTAAAAAAAAAGTCAACTTTGTACCTTGAATCTAATCAATTTTTTAAATCTGAATTTTATATAAAATTATGTATACATATTAATTTTTGTACTTTGAATATAGTCATTCTTTTGAAAAATAATATCTGTAAAAGGAATTAACCTTGTCCATAGGCATTGGGTTTTTGATTCTTATGTCCCAAATCGAATTTTTCTTGTTCAAAAATTTAAAATTTTATTTATAACAATATTTTTTAGTTGGAAAAATAAAGATGGAAAATTATTTTTCTTGGGGTGACCTAAACTAAAATGTTTGGTTAAGATAGTGGAAAACTTATCATATAAAGGATTCACAAATTATCTGCCACGTGGCCTCACCTTATTTGCTCTTTTAGTTCAAATGTATAGCAAATATAATTATTTGTAGTATTAAACTTACTTGTACGCAATTATTTGAGAAAAATGCATCTTTTATATTTTCTTCTCTTTAATTATTGATTCCCATGACTCAAAAAGGAGTTTTGTAGAGTAAAAGTAGAGATTCCAAGAGAGGGAAAGAGGCATTGAATACTTTTATTGTTTGTCACACTTTAATTGGAATAATATCTTTCCTTTCTATTTTTCTTCTTCCCTTTTATTTACAATGCATATGCTTGCAATGGAATAAAAGACAAAACTCAATTACAAATGCATCTAGTACCCTTTTGGTCGAGGCTTCCTCGGACCTTACATAAATGCAGAATATTTTATGTATTCGATTACCCTTTTAATAGATGTAAAGAGCAACTTCTAACTCACACAAACATAGATTAGGAAGAAAAGGAGTAATACTATAAGCTAAACTCTATCGATGGAAATTGAGGAGTGTAATGAGATAGTTAAAAATTCAGATTAACCTTTTTAGTGAGTTTTTTTTTTTTGTTGATTAATTAGATACTTAATAACAAAATAATAATTATATGGGTGACACGATAGAGGAGTTGTCCAGTTGGACAAGATTGCTTGAAATAGTAGTAGATATATTACATGCCAAAGTTTTTCTAATGAAAGTAGTTCCTAGGACGTCTGCCCATAGTGCATCATTTGCAAATACCGGAGGAACTATCAAAATTCTAGTTTTGTCAAAAAGCCTTTTATTTGATCCTTCCTTAGCTAGTAGATTTGCCAGCCGATTCTGCTCTCTAAAGCTATGGGTGATGGCTGGGTTTCTAAGCTATGTCATCAATGACCTGCATTCACAAACAAATTTGTCGTAAGGAATATGACTATGTTTTAACACTCTAATAATCTCTTGTGAGTCGATGAGCTTTCGCAGGGATACTTTACCCTTCTTAGTGAGCGTAAGTGAATTTCAAATTAATATTGGATAAGTGAATTTCAAATGTTGGTGTGTAGGGTAAAATATGTTTACATTAAATGATCAAATAAGGAAGTGACACATGGAGCCGAAGATAGAAGATAATTGAATCCGAAGGCGATGATACTGTCTATTACTTGAGAGAGTAATACTCACAAAAATGAAATAAATGTCGGCCACTGTAGCATTAAGTGAGGAATATTCTATAGCATTAAGTACACGGTCCGTTACAGAGAATATAACATTCATTACCTGTCGTTATACTTTCTTCAATGGCCCTCATAATTGACATTAAAGAGGGGCTTGATCCTAGGACTTTGTTCCCTATGTGCAACTATAAATAGTGAGCTTTATTATCAATGTAGTGGACGAATTTTCTGGCAAACACACGCTATATTCTATTTAAAGCTCAATACAATTTTATCTTCTTATTTATTGATATCATTGTTATTGTGCCCGGAAGCCCTGCTCCCGAAATTGTCATTTTTGCTATTTTATCTCAATCTCAAGGCTAAGTATCATATTTTCATCTAATTCATATATTATTTCAGGATTAAATTAATTCACTTATATATAAACCACGTATAAATTTTAACTGTACCATTTTACAGATAAACAGTTTGGCTCTTAGATAGTTGTGTAATTAAGTTGGTCCTTGCCTCCTTTACTAACATGTTTGATTATTTGTTTTTTAGCAAAAAAATCATAGAAAATGACAGGTAATGGAGTTGACAACATACACAACCCTGAGGCTCAAGGAAATCATCCCCAGCACGAGGATTTGATCAGTGATACCCGCAGTGAGGGGAACGAGGACACTCCGGTCCATGATAGGCGGTCCCACGACAAGTTTGAGAGGCGACCCTTGATGATGCTGAAAAAGAGCACGTCGTCGAAGCGGTAAGGGTGTTGCAGGAGCAACAGGAGGTCATCTTAGGTCATCTCACACGGCATGATAAGGTTATAACGGAACTAAAACAGGTGGTATCAGGTGCTTTCAATAACGCGAATGGATAAGGTCCAATTCCTCCCGATGCTCCCACAAATCAAACAACGCAAAGGGTCGACAACAACACCCCGAGGGGAGAGGTCGGCTTTGATAGGGCCGGGGTAAACAGTTCTGGTCGCAACAACGAGAGCGATCCCTTCAAAAACGAACTCTTACTGTTTATGAGGGAAGTGAACGCTCGAATGGCACAAATTTCGGGCACGCAACCCATGCTGAAAGGGCCAAACTCAAAGAAATATACTCAATTGCTGTACAAATCGATCGCAACACCAGAATTGATCCCGAAGTAGTTTAAAATTTTGGACGTACCGAAATATGATGGGACTTCAGATCCTCAGGATCATATCACCACCTATACAACGGCGGTGAAAGGGAACGATTTAGCTCCCCATGATATTGAATCAGTGTTGCTGAAGAAATTTGGGGAGACCCTCACGAAAGGAGCCTTGACGTGGTATTCATATTTTCCCGAGCATTCCATAGATTCTTTTGAGATGCTCGCAGACTCTTTCATTAAGGCCCATGCTTAGAGCCAGAAAGGTACAAGCCCAAAAGGCCAATATATACAGGATTGCACAAGGAGAGTCCGAGTTGCTGCAAGAATTTGTAACTCGGTTCCAGAAGGAAAGGATGTTGCTCCCGGCAATTCTAGATGAATGGGCGGCTGAAGCATTCACCAAGGGTTAGAATCCGAGGAGTTCCGATGCTTCCCGAAAATTGAAAGAACACTTGCTCAAGTTCCAAGTGACAACCTGTGCGGATGTTCACAACCGGTACGAGTCAAAGATAATGATTGAGGATGATCAGATCGATTTCCCGATGCCAGTTAAGGGCCGAGAGAAGAATAAAAAGAAATCAAAAGACGATTCTGACACAAGGCGATGTTCTTCGAGTAGTTGGTTTTTGCCCTATGAATAGACCAAAGGACGTGGTGGAGGTTTCCTATCAATGGATAGTTTCATTACTAATAGAAGAACTGATCGCGTTCAGAACAACAAGTCGTTATAGGACAAGGAAACGTTGGGGTTCTCGAGATCCTTCCTACCCCAGACTTTTAGAATATGACTTCAACGTAAGTGTAGTAGAGTTGGTATTGGCTACGAGGAATATTAAAGAAGCACAGTTCCCAAAGCTAATGAGATCCGATCCCAGCCATAGGGATCCAAATTTATGGTGCGAATACCATAGGATGAATGGTCACCGCACTGGGGACTACCGGCATCTGTGCGAAAAGGTTGCAACACTGCTCAAAAATGGCCATCTCAGGGAATTCTTAAGTGACTGGGCTAAAAACAATTATGGTCGCAATCATGACAACACGGAGCCCTCAAAAGCAGGAGAAAATCCCCTGCGCCTAACGATCAACATGATTTCCAGGGGGACAAGATTAACGGGGTTACCTTCTTGGCGGCTAAGAAGACGAAGGTTTTAGTAACCCATAGCAAGAGACTCTGAAAAATTTCTGAAAATGATATCACCTTTACGGACAAAGACATAGATGGATTGTTGTTGTTGCACAATGACGCATTGGTAATTTCTCTTAATGTATTAGATTTTAAAATCAAACTTATCTTGGTGGATCCAGGGAGTTCGGCCAAAATTATACAATGAAGGGTATTAGAGCAAGCCGAACTTACCGGAAGCATCGTTCCGGCCACAAAACTCCTCATTGGGTTTAACCTGGCAAGCGTGACAACCAGGGGAGAGATCCCGCTGCCCAAGAACACCGAAGGGATGATGAAGATGACTCTTTTCGAGGTGGTAGATGGATATATAGGATTCAACATTGTGAGCACGTGATTTTTGCCTTACAAAAACTACTCCAAAATAAATCAAAAAATAAAATAAAATACAGGTTGCATGCATATAGGATTTAATTATGCATTTAAAAAATAAATAATAAATCACAAAAATATGTCTCTGTTCTAGTTTTAATATTTCACTGTGTGATTAATGTTTTGTCTATGTATTAATAGGAAATTTATCTTTGTAAGGGTAATTTTGTTTTTATTATTTTAATTAGGAATTTAATAATTAGGAATTTAATTAGAAAATTAAAAGAAGTAGAAATTAAGAGGGTAAAACGTTTCTGGGCCAAAAATCTTAAATAAAAAAATCAGGCCCAAACAATTTTAAATCCTCCACAGCCCAATCCAAACAAGCTTGTCCGGTCCAATTCAGATACGTCAAACGACGACGTTTCATCATCCTTCATCAAGGGCCGTTGGATCAAATCCAACCAACGGATGAGATTTCATCACCCTAACCCATAATCCTTACCCGACCCAATGCCCCGGTTCAACCCGTCCCCCTAACTTAAACCAAACGACATCGTTTGGTTAAGTGAATAGATCTTAGCCGTCCATCCTGCCTAATCCAACGGACAATGTCAATCCACCCCTCCCCTATATAAGGTCCAAACCCTTACC